TACCTGGCTGGGGAACACACTGGCAAAATTTCAGCTTCAAAGCTTGCGCGGTTAGCAAGTTGAAATGCCCGGACGGGCGAACACACAGACACACAGACACACACACACACAAACATACACACACACACAGACAGGGTCGTTGCAATACGCGTTTTTGCTGCCTGTGGCAGCGCTCTAGCGCTGCACAACAAAAACGCATAAAAACGGATGCAAAAATGAATTGAAGTAGCATTTCTCTTTCGTCAGCAGCTATCATCATTCCAAACATAGGGAAACAACAAACCCAGGTAGCGATACACCAGACTTGGAGGAACGATCATGCGCTTTTACTAGAATTTTGAAGCAATCAGACCATTATCAGTACGAATAGCTGTTGCTTTTCATTTTAACAAGCGCGCTCATATTGGCAATGTTTTTACCAAAATCTGCATGTAGAGAAGAATAGGGCGCTCGCCGGAACTGTAATGTTGCATAGACCGTGCGAAAACTAAATCTCAGTCATGTATGATTACAGTAAGTTTTGCATAAAAATATTATCAGCAAAGTCATCCTCAAGTTCCCCGTATCTGTACGAAACAATAAGGAGTTTCTGAATGCAGATTTTATGTTTACAGACTTCCACACGGACAGTAAACCTTCTTACAAATTTTGGTTTCCTTCTTAGCCTGACTGCAGTGTGAACGCGTGTCAAAGTTGAAAGTTTACTTGCGTGTAATGCGAAAAACAAGCGTGCCTCGGAGCTCAGTTTGAAATCTTCAAGTCACATGTGGGCATGGGGCATCCTTGTGAAATTTTAGCTTCCTGGCTTTCCAATTTCTGAAGTTGCCACTTCGTACAAACATTTTCGACTTGCCTCAGTACGTGAAGCAGGTCTTAAACTGAGTATTTCGTTGAAAGAATGTCTGTACGGACTATAAATATTTTTCCATGACCTCAACTATCCTCTTCCGCCTAATTTTCGAGTTAGATACGGTGTCAACGACGAACATTGACGCGTCCGTATGGGTGATGCAGAAATACGTCATAGCTGAATTTGAAATCTTCAGTTCAAACATGGACAGGGAATATCACTGTAAAGTTTCAGCTTCCTACGCTGGATTGTTCTCGAGAACGTTTTCCGTTGAAAAATTTGCATATTTTCTTTTCCGGGCCCATATGTAACAAATAAGTATGCGCGAATGATAATTTCAAGACGGGAACATGAGAGCCCGGGAGGGTCCGTGCGTGTGTTCGCACCTCTGTCACCCGCTTTCAACTTGCCAACCAGAAAAGCTAGAAAGTTAAAATTTCTAGAACACATACCTACTCCGTGTTCAACCTCCCCATTTTAAAATCATTATTTTCTTAGCATATGGTCTCGCTCTCACGGCAAAAAAATCGCGAATTTCTCAGCCAGAAAACGATTTCGAGTACCAGTAAGATAGAGCATCCCTGAGAAAATTCAACATTTTCACCGGTGTTTGAACTAGGGATTCCAAATTCGGCATTAGGGCGCCCCTACAGTACGTATATGGTCACATCAGAGTTGAGACTTCGGCAAGGCTGGCAAAAGGCTAATTCGGGACTAAGTTGATTTGAGTTCTGCGACTTTACGAGAATATTTGCTTCCCGTAGTTGGGTACAGAGTGGTAAAATAAGTTTTGGCGTATGCTTGCATCACATGTTCAGACGCCCCAAAGGTATTTGTAACGAAAAGCGATTTTACTAAACAGTCAAGCTGGGCAACTGAGGCTTTCCAAGGATATTCTACGACAATGTGCTACCAAAATATTTCAAATTCAGCTTTAGAGTACGCCTATGTCTCACACTCGGGCTAGTGAAAGCTTAGTTTAGGACAATGATAACATTCAATTCGGTAACAGGCTGAGCAGAAAGCAGCACTTACTTGAGAATATCTGCTGTTCATGTGCGGGCCACCAAGCGTAAGGTTAGCTAAGGCATAAGACCTACGTACAAACGCATCAAATAATACAGGCGATTTCTCTGCAGAATGTTATCATACAAAACACATGATCGCACGGGTAAGCCTGGTGCTTTGCTACTTGGATTGTCTCTTAAGTTTGTAGATAAATTATCATCACATCACTACGCACCGGATCATATATTACTAAGATACAAACTTGAATAATGCTCCTCGAATTAATCACTGATACAAAATGTATGAAAATTAGAATTTCTCTGGTATAAAAAGATTTTACCCCAGAATCGATGGTGCTCAGATTCACCGGCAGCACCATCCTCGTCGATGTTGTTCAGAGTGTTCTCGATGACCAGTTCTGCACTGCGATCAAATTTATACATGCAGTGAAGCGGTTCTTCGTCATAAAAATCCCCGACTGCAACGACATGCTTTTCTGCTCGTATGCAATCCCACCAAAGACCGTGCTAAAACGAACATTGCTTGCCAAATCTAATTTTCTTTTTTTGGAACATTTTTTGAATATTGCATGGTTCAAACAACAACTTATGGTTTTCTCGCTTCATCAGAAATGTTAACACCTGATGCATCTATAACTTTACTTTAGTTCTTAAGTTTTTATGCGTTTTTGCTGTACAACGCTATAGTGCTGCTACAGAGAGCAAAAAAGCATACTGTCGAGAGACCATACGTATGTGCATGTGTATGTTTGGAAGCGAGTGAACTTTGACACCCAATTTCAACTCAGCAACCAGGTAAGCTAGTGGGCTGAAATTTTTGGGGAATATTCCCATTCCGTGTGCTACTCTCCCGATTTAAAATCGCTCACAGCGCCTAGATCTCGCGTACGAAACCCCTAAAAATATGCAGATTTGTTTGGTGGGGAACGATTTCGCTATCCAGATAAGATAGAAAGCTAAAAATTTTAAGGAATATTATGTGTGCATGTGCGAACTAAAAATTTCAAATTCAGCTATGACGCACACTTGTACTGCGTTCACGCGACCACGCCAAAGTTCGCAGCTGGCACTGTGCTAACTCGAAAACAACAGAAAAGCAGCAATTCAAATTTTGTCAAACTATTTGCCGTTCATGTGGGAAATCATACATTTAAATTGAGTTTCGACTTGCACTTGCCCCACAACTTAGAGCACTTCAAACATATTTGTAGCTAAGTAGCCATTTCGCTTATCACGCAAGCTGTGAGGCTAAAACTCTACAAGCGTATTCTATATTCACGCAGTTCTTAATTCGGTTTGAAAGTGAAATTCCCGTACGCAGGCATGACAAATATCAATTTTATCGCAAAATCAAAAGCGGATGTGTTTTACAGATTTCATAAATCCTTTTCTGACTTCGTTCAAATTTACATCTTCTTCAATGAACGACCAGAGTTCATGCAAAAAAATCATTGGCGATGCGCACTGGGGGGCCCCGTGCGATCATGCGTTTTTGCAGTGTTTCGTG